CGGGGCTGCCTGCAGCCGCTGCCTGCTTCTTGGGGTGGTTTTAATTTTAATTAATTATATATTTATTTTTTTTTTTTTTTGCCAGCCCCGACGCCACCTCTGTCCCTAAAAGCCCCACCACCTCGCCCAGACCGGCTCAGGGGAGCATCAGCTAAAAAAGTGACATTTCCAGCAGCCACCACCTTGGGCCATCCGAGGGTGGGGGAAGAAGGAGAGGAGGGAAAAAAAAAAAAACCACCAAAAAAACAAAAAGAAAACCATAAAAAATCCCGTTCAGCCCAAACCTTGCCCCCGTGGGTTTAAAATATACACAGGCACGGCCCGAGCTGAAATGGGGAGGGTCCCCTCTGCTATGAACAGGGTTTGATGTGCACGAAGGGGGTTTCCCGGTTAAAAAATGGGGGGGAGGAGGAGGAGAAAATGCTTCATCGCCACTTTCACCCGCTGAAACCTCTCTTTATCTCGGCGGCAACAGGAGCCGGGGGCCGAGGGGCAGGCAGAGTATAAAACAGGATACAGGCTGGAAGTACATCCTTATAATATTTATTACTGGCGGAGGATGAATCACTTTCCAATATACGGGCCACTAGCTGCTGAAGGGAGAGGGGAAAGGAAAAAAAAATCTCTTTAACAAGGAGAAATATATACGTTCTGCTAAAGGATGTGCTCATGGGCTGGCAAAGGTACAGGCAGGAGCTGCCAATTCTCCTTAGCTCTCTTCTCGGTGACCTCCCAGGCCACTGGTCCAGCCTCCAGCCTTGGATGCCTGTCCCCCTTTCAGCTCTTTTCTCGCTTCATCTCAACGTCTCATCAGCCCAAGGGGCGATTCCGAGGGAGAAGGGAATAAAAAAAAATAAAAAAAAAAAAGAGAAAAAAAATCAAACAAAAAAAAACCCCAAACCCATGTATTTCCAGGTGATAACTAACTGGAAAAGCCGATTCCTCTGCCCGGACGGGAGGGAAAACGATCCCAGCAACAGCATCAACTCCTGAGCACTTTACCTGGAAACTTTGGAGGAGGAGGGCTCCGCATTAAACTTTAACCGATCTATTCTCTCATTCTTCACTTTTGCTTTATTAATTTATGACAGATAAAAGCATAAGCTGAGCCTCCCCTCATTAACTTTTCAAACGCCACTTAATATTGTTCCATTAAAAGAGGTGACTTGGTCGCCTCCGGATCGACTTTTAAAAGCCAGAGGGATGAAGAGGGGAGAAGGCACATTAAACAGTTTGCTTAAAAACTCCTACTTCCCCACCACCAATTCCAACGACACCATCCCGACTGGTTCGTACTGGCTCCTTCCAGGGGAAATATCTCAATATTGGGTAGGGGATGGGGGAGGAGGAGGAGGAAGGCAGGGGAGGGATATATATCTTTCAACCCCTCCATCCTCCCAGGCGCTTTTTTGGAGGCTTTGGGGGTGAAAGCATTTCACAAGGACGCCCAAGACATTTCAATAAAAATTTATTGAAACTTCAGTGACTTTTAAAAGGGAGGAAAAAAAAAATTACAGAAGAAAAAAAAAAAAATCAAGAACTTCTCAACATTTATATAACACAAAATATACCTTCATTATTTTTTTTTTTTTTTCCTTTGAACCAGCTCTGAGCACCTGACTTTCAAGCCAAGAAAATATGCACTCACTCAAACAAAGACGACAATAAGCACAGTAGTAAAACTCCATCGTGGGGTCGGGGGCTTTTTGTTTTTGACACACCAAGGAAACGGGGGAAAAAAATAATACAAAGTAAAGAAAATCCTAGAATCTTCATCACTTTTTTTTTGTTTGTTTTTCTCTCAAGCCACTGGAGAAGCCTGTAGTCGTGTATTAACGTATATCTTTTTGTTGTTGTTGTTGTTGATATTTTATACGGAAAGTAGCACTTTGAACACCGAAGAAATCGAGGATTAAAAGCTACCATGGCACATCGCTTTATTTTCTTTTTCTCTCTTTTATTTTTTTCTCTTTTTTTTTTAAAGGTCTTTGATTCATTCCGGTTGTTTCTGCTTTGCCTTTTGCATTCGGCTCCTTGACAAAAGGACAGGTTTTTCTGGGGTGAACTCCGATTTTAAAAGTGAGCCCTCAGAAACGGGGGGATTTCTCCTCTGGGTCGGGGTGTATGTTTAAAGGTATTACGAACTTGAAATGAAAAAGACTAAAAAAATCAAAACAGAAGGAAAAAAAAAAAAAGACAGCTGCAGTCGTATTTACAGAGATATGTACAATGTCAATAAATTAAAGTTTAATTTCGAGTATTCATATTCCACGTATTTACAAGAGTTATCAAATAATTACATAAATACTTTGTTTTAATAATAGTGTCCGCTCTTTTCTTCTTCTCAGTATGTTTAAACCTTGTTATTGCATATACAATTAAAGAGGGAAAGCTGTGATGAACCTACAGTCAAGCTACAGACGTTTTTAGATAAAATAAAATCACTTTTTTTTTTTTCCTTTCCAACTACACTTCTTACTGTTGTTGCTACAGGGAGGATGTTTAAGGTAGAGGGACGAGGGTCTTATTTTTGTTTGTTATTATTATTATTAATAATTTTTTTTCCCTGGGATTTGAAACGAGCATTAAAAATAAACAACGAAACCCCACCGAAATAAAAAAAATACACCACCCCCCCAACAAAAAAACAAAAAAAGCAGACTACTATGGAACATGCAAAAAAGCCACCGACTGGCTCTCAGACATCACAATAATATTTTAAACACACAGCTTCCCTTAATATTGACTAAGGGGGTTGTCGTTAACAACCCGCCCAGGAAACAACTGTTGAAGAACCGATATGCGAGTTACTTACACCCTTTTCTTTCGGAAAAAAAAAAAAAAAAAAAAAATCACTTCTCTTACTTAATTTTTATTCATACGTTTGTTTGATTTTTTTTTCTTTTGTTTTATTTTTGCTTTTAGGTGGTTTTTTACTTTTTTTTTCCTTTTTTTTTTTTTTTCGTTTTGTTTTTTTTTTACACAGTTTGGTTTTTTATTAAAAAAAAAAAAAAAAAGGAAAGGAGGATGCTACAGCCCCACCGGTGACCCGGCGAGCAGCCTCCGACCCAGCTCCGCTCCCCCATCCCCGACCCTCTCCCTCCTCCTCCTC